TTCATTGGCAGCCTTGCTCTGGCAGATGTTTTCGCCAGCTGCTTCTTCACCATCAGTTTCCTGGACTTTCATCTGTTCCAACGCTGTGACGGTCCGACTGCATATCTGTTTAAGTTGGGAGGCGTTACCATGGCTTTCACTTGCTCAGTTGGGAGCTTACTGCTGACTGCTCTGGACCGATACCTCTGCATCCACCAAGCATCTAGCTACAAGGTCCTGCTGACCCGACGAAGGGCCCTGCTGAGTCTCCTGGTTCTCTGGAGCATCACTATCTTCATCTCTTTCTTACCACTCATGGGCTGGAGGTGCCCAGAAGTAAGAACACCCTGCTCAAGCTTGTTCCCCTACATCAGCAAGGGCTACCTGACCTGTTGGACTAGCTTTATTCTGGTGCTGCTTGCACTAATTTTGGTGGCCTACGCTCTGATTCTCTGGAAAGCCCATCGTCACGCATCCTCCATGAACAACCTCCAGGGGGCAGCAGGTAAAGGTCAGGCCCGGATGAGGATGGATATCAGGCTGGCTCGTACTTTTGGGTTAATTCTCCTCATACTGGTGGGAAGCTGGCTCCCTGTACTCTCCTTCATGCTGGTTGATGTCTCTATGATCCTGAATCATACCCAAAAGAGGGCTTTTGCCTTTTGCGGCACCCTCTGCTTGGTCAACTCTGCAGTCAACCCGTTGCTTTATGCCCTGCGGTGCAGAGAGTTAAGACTGGCTCTGCTGCAGACTCTACAAAGGCTGTGTGGCTTTGGCAAGTGTCTGAAATCTACCAAAGCCTTAAATCCCACACTGCAGACGACAGAAGACAACTGTCCTGCAGAATCTGACGACGATGCGCTGGCAATGACAACTCGACTTGACTCCATCTCTGAGATAGTGAACAATCAGCAGGGTTAAAAAACAAAAGGGACCACTAAAATGAAAAAAAGAAACTCAGATGGATTAAAAGTTTAATGGCAATGGGCTGTTGGTGGAGAATGTCTGTAAAACCTTTATAATGACATCATGATTTCTGTGTCTTTGATATATAAATGACAAGTATAATAAAAAAAGAAACTTTTACCTTTTTTCTTATAAAATACTTAAAGTCATTCTGGTTTAAGCATGTATATAAATGTATTCTTTATCAGACCATACTGTCCCAAAAGTTAGAAGATTTATATTTAAAAAAAAATCCTGTTTTAAAATCTGTATTTTTTTTGTTTTGTTATTTTATGCAGGCCAGTTAGTTATATGTCAGCTTGAACACCTAAATTCAGTGAATCATATATTAACAGTCATCTGTCAATCATATTTTTTTTTGGTCATAGCATCTTGATTCATATGTCGCAGCTAATATACGCAACGGTTGAAATAATAAATAAGAATAATTTACTTTGCCATCGAGTTACGTCCCAGTGTTCACAGGGATGGACATCTGTATCTTCAGCAGGTGTAGAGCTAACAGAACTGGTGGGGTTGTGAGGCAAGGGGTCAAACATATGGCTGTAAGCCTTCGACACCAAATGAAGCTTCTGCTGCCCTGGCATCCTCTTCCACAACATCTTCGTCCCCACTTTCCTCTTCTAAATAAAAAATGTATGACGGAGGAGACTCATCCACGACCTCCGACCTCAAACTGTCCTCTTGTATGTTTCCGCTGTCCATAGCATTCCTTGACTGTGTTATTACTAAGTGCTACTTGGTCCCAATTTAATTTTCCATCACTAGCACTAACTTGCTAACTGGTTAGCAAGATGCTTCTGAGACATCGGCCACAACCAAAAAGTGCTTGCGAACCGTCTGCCACAACAATCCCGCCCCCTTGATAATCGACCAATCACATTCACTTTATTCACTCGTGTAAAGTAAGGCACCACTCGGGAGAATTTGGAACTGCAACCATTGGAACGGCCGCTTCCCTACGACTTTAAGAACTGTATGGGACATTTAATTGTTCTTGTTTTATTAATATTGGATATATGGGAATGCAAACCATGCTTATGAGGGAATAAACATTATTTTGCCTTGATTACCTAAGAAAAAGTCCAGTACAAACAACTGCCTTTAACCATCACAAAATCTAGTAAATGAAGATGATGGGTGCATAGTTCAATCTTAGTGTATATTCAGCAGTTGTGTGGATGGTTCTGAGGCAAGCATCATGAAGGTCTACAAACACACCAAACAAGTCTGGTACGAAGTTATACTAAAGTTTAAAGTTGTAACAGGTTGTCTTTATTAGCTTTCCACACTGAAAAGAATATGGAACAACTGTAAAGTAAACAGCTACCAACATCTGGTATACTGTCCACTAAAACTGATGTGTGTAAATAAGTGAATTCGAGATATCCATTGTAACTTTGGATGAGCTGCAGAGTTCTTCACTTCAAAGATAAAGATATTTTGTGCAATCAAATCTAACCACAATGGAAACAAAGCAGAAGCATACTGTTATTGACGAGAGTTAATATTAATTTTTGTATAAGCCAGAGATGTTCAAAGCTGATTGAAATAAACGCTTTTCTTCTTTCTATTTTTTGTAAGGGTAATATTAGACATAGAACAATTATTCTTAATGTGGTGGCTTTTTGTTAGAAAATAAATATCTTCTAGCTATGTAATTTCACTGAGAGTACATCTACAAACCTCCAGTGACAGAAATGTCATTCTTGCTGATGAAAATTGAGCAAAACCTTCTTGCAGAATCAAAACAATAAACCTATGTCATAGAAAAATGTTTTAGTAGGCATTTTTTTTAAAGAGGGAACAGTTTTAGATCCATTTTTGGTTTTCTTTTTTGGACATTAATAAATCAAAATCTGTTTACTTGAAAATCTGATTGCATTGTTTCATTTGAATACATATTCTGTATCTCACTAAATCATTTTTTGACATTTTAAGTTGGATTCCCATACAGGGAAGAGACAAACATGTTGTTTTCTCCATCTCTCAAACTGAATGTATTTAGTTACTTTACTTGGAAAGTAGGACTTTCTGGATTGCCTGTTATATCTGCACATGAGTGCAACTTCCTCACAAAAGGTTAAGGCACATAACAGTTTTTTAATAAAATTCTCACCAAATTTATCTCACCAAAGTGCTACGTCAAATGGGGCACATGTATGCAAGCACCGACATGGGAACCGTTACAGAAAAAATGTTTTTAAGAGTTACAATACCCACAAAGCATGTTGTATCTGAACAATAATAAAGTTTGTTTATTTTGTATTATTGGCTACAGTTAAAATATAGCCGGTTCAAAACATCTGTTTAACATCCCTTAGTTTCAAATCCACATGGCTTGTGAATAGAACTGTTTTAGCCTTTCTGCTTTCAGAAATTATCTAACATATCGATACAAATTTGTGCAATATTGTGTTTGCATTATTACATATTCTATATACTCTCAAATAGAGTTGTTTTCACAAAGTAATTAAGTGAACCATTCAAAAACAGTTCTGATATTTAGTATTTTTAAGCTCCAGCTATCGACGGGCGAGAGGCTGGGTACACCATTGCAGGGCTACACAGAGATAAACAACTATTCATGCACACACTCACATTTAGAGAAGCCAGTTAACCTAACAGCCATGCTTTTGGACTGTGGGAGTAAGCTGGAGTTTGCATGCTCAGGGAGAACATGCAAACTCCATAAAGAAAGACCCCCGGCCGGAAATCGAACCCCAAACCTTCTTGCTACCCATTTTGCTTTCCTTTTTACTACAGTATAGCATAATAATATGTTCGGAATCAGAAACATAAAATACACCATTTATTTCTTCACAGATGGTCAAGAGGTAGTAAAAGCAGCGTTTTCCTTAACGGGAGTGAAGTATTATATTGGAAATACTTGGATAATCAAAAACAGTGCAGATATAACAATGTGGCAAGAATCTTCCTATTATGGAAAAAGGCACCTACACCGCACTTATCATTTTTGCCAATTTTCACAACTGAAAGTCTTGTTTTTAATAAAATCTAATCTCTTTATGGTAATTCTTCTTAACCTTTTTGATTCTTTTGTCTAATTTTAGCCTGTGTGATCTTGTTAATTTGCATTTTTTGAGGTTTTTTTTTATCTGTAGGCTCAATGTCCCTTAAGCTGGGGAGATAGAATGTCTAATTTTAAAACCTAATTTCAGCTCATTCCAGTTTTTAGGCCAAACATGAAACGTGTTATGGTGTCAAGTTAACTTCCTGATATAATGATACCCATTTTAGATAGAGAAAACACCTAAACAATATAGCGGATTGGATTTTGCCAAAGTAAGTTATATGGCGTCCACCCAAGAAGCCGAAGATCAGGCTTATTTTACGTAGACTTCTCAATTATCCTGTGCAAAATCCTAAATAGTAAAAAGGAATGACAGAGATACATTTATTTAATCAAAAAATAGTTCACATTCTATTTTCTAACTGAATCCTTAATCAAGATTCACACGATAATTTGTACTCGTTTTTAAAAAGTGGTTAAAATGATATTTCCTATTTTGTATATTTTTTTCTAATGCTTCTAATAAATCAGTGACATCAAGTAATTTAAAAATCATACATTTAAGCTTTTCCCAGTTTCCTTATTCAGCCCAACTCAGTCTAACTCTGTTGTAATGCTTGCGTATTATATATTTTCCACCAACAAATTCGGCTCTTTCCGATTATGATCCTTTAATTTCCAATATAATATGTAGGTATTTAATTTATCTTTTTCTTTTTTTCCCTACTTCATCGCATCCACCAGACGTCTCATGAACCCTGCATTTAAGTTCAACTGGAAGAGTAAACAACATTACCGGGGACCAAAGGACCGGAAGTGAAATTATAAAATGCGAGATAAAAAAAGGAGAGGCGGTTTTATTGATGGGGGGCTATTTTACAAAATCTTTTAGGCGTGTATATACAATTTTTATAAGTAAGAATGCTATGTAATATACATTAAAATTATAACAATTTCAAACACACCCTCTTTTTGTGCAGTGGTACGACCCACCATTGTGACGATTTAAAAATTCAGTAGGCAGGCAGCGTCGGCTGTTACTACTCCGAGCCGAAAGTGCGTGTTGTGGAGGAGAAGAAACGCAAACGAGTAATTCAAGGAAACATTTTTAAAGGCAGCGATAAACCCCATAACTGCGGGTGTTTTTTCTCTCTCTACTGCTACCTTCTCGGTTTGTTTTAGCCAACATGGCTTGCGGCGCGACGTTAAAGCGGTCGATGGAGTTTGAGGCCCTCCTCAGTCCCCAGTCTCCCAAGCGGAGAAGGTGCAACCCACTACCGGGGACTCCGACCACTCCGTCCCCGCAAAGATGCAACCTCCGTACTCCAGTGGATAGCCCGGGTCACTCGGTTTCTCCTCAGCCCATCGGAGGCGAACACAGGCTTACTCCAGGTATGCAGCTGTATCAAACGTATTTTCTCCGGTTCAGGGTGGGTGTCATGGGGGGAGGGGGTTTGGGTGGAGAGGAAGAATCAGAATGGGGGTTGGAGGCTAAACGTTAGCCGGCCTCGGCTAATGTCAAGAATGGGAATCTCGTTAAGGGATGTTCGCTCGCATGTGGTCGCATTTATTGTTAACAACTTGCATTTTAGAATAAAAGTAAAAGTAAGTTCATAGCGTTTGGCTAGTGGCGTTTTGCCAGCTTCTAATACTCTGCTGTGTTAGCTTACCCTGGCTAATGTTGATTTGTTAGGGTAATTATTGCCTTTGCTTGATATTTAAAATCCTGTGTTATGACTGTTTTATAAACACAACTTTTATCAGCTTTGCTGCATCCTTTCCAGTGGTACCAGACAACTGAATGTTTCGTCTTTACAATTTAAAGTTTTTTTGTTGTTTTTTTAAACGGCCTATGCTTTATCACCAACTGTTTGGGCACGAAACAAGCCTTGAAACCTTTTCAACAGGGCTTGAATGTGAGGAAATCTGCCCCCAAATAGTAATCGCAACAGTCCTTGATTTTATTTTAAATTGTTTCACCATTTGTTTTTTTGTTTTGTTTTTTGAACCTAAAAAGGTTTATTGTAGGATTGAAACAAAAAAAAAATTACTGTTCCACGTGCCAGCTTCATAAACAGATCATGCATAGCAGGTTTTTAAATTCATATGTATCATGTCAAAGATCAATTTATTGATTTATTTATTTTTTGGTAATTAGCATAAGCCCAATATAATGAAAGAAATTATACTCCGATAAACTTGCAGCAACAAATAATTTAAAAATAATTTAAAATTGTAGTTATATTTATAGTGGTCATAATCTAGAGCAGAGTTCCTCAACCTTTTCCAGGCCAAGGACCCCCAAACTGATGGCGAGATGAGCGGGGACCCCCAATTAAATATTGTATGAAATTGTGTTATATCAAACTGCCCCTATAGTGACTATTTTACAGATGAAATCATGTAACAAAAGTAATTTTGCCCTGGGATTATTAAAGTATTTCTGATTCCGATTCCTCGTTGATGGGACAGGTGTTGTGAATAAGCTTGAAAGAGCTTCTGTGTCTCATTGAATGTGTACATTGATGACAGAAAAATATCTTCTGCCTCCACTTATGTTTACTACAGTGTGTTGAATTCATGTCAATGTGTATTTAAAGACATCTCAATTAGTGGAAAAAAATTGCAGGGTTGAAAATTGCAGTTCCTCTCTTGACCCCCTGTTGAAGATCTCCGATCTAGAGTTAACATTGAAATTCGGAACTGTTTATTTCTCTCGAGAATATGTCAAAGCTTTTTAAAAAAGAGTTCAGTGAAAGCGTTATACCGTAGAAGTTTGCAAAGCTGCAACATTATCAAATAAAACACAGTTGAATAACCTAACTGTGTATGTATCGGGTCAGAAAAAAATAAAAAGAAATGTTACCCAGCATGTCATTAAACTTTGTTAATTTGAATCCGCATGAATAATGTTCCTTGGCTCCAGCATTATGCTACTGTTATGAACCACAGTCATTTCTTTCTTTCCATAGAGCTGGAATGCATTATTTGGTCCCTTTGTTTGTCACCCATTGTGTAAGTCTTGGATGGGTGCATAGTGCACAAGTGAACACCAGCCAATTAGTGGGAGCTCTCTATTGCAGTTCAGCTGGATCATTTGTGCCCTTTTTTTAATTTCCAATAGGTTATTACTGGACGTCCTTGGGACCCTCTTCATCTAGCAATTTATAGCAATTTAATGCTACTTCGTCTTTTATAAATAAAACAATAAACCCTTGTTCCATAAAGTAAGGGGGAGCATGTGTATATCTGATAGAATTTCACATTAGTCATTTTGCATTTGCTGGTTTAAGTAGTGATGGGGTGATCTATACCAATACATTATAATTTTTTGTCCCTCTAAGCATATCATTTGTACTCGTCAGGCTTATTATTTTATATTCAACTTACTCATATTATGGTAATGATTAAAAAAAAACATTAGCAAACCTCTTTAGCTGATGAAAGCAGAAGCTTTGTTTAAAGGTACTTTCCTTAAAAGCAATTTGAGAGGAAAAAAAGGCTGCTCGTGTTAGCCACAGTTTTACGCAACTCTTAAAGTTAACTTTTCGTTTTTTCAAATTGTTGTTTGTAAAGATAATGTTGACTAACAATTTGGTAAACATAAAGTTCTTTATTTGAAGCACAATCGTTATTATTATTATTATTATTATTATTATTATTATTATTATTATTATTATTGTTGCCTAACATTTAAGTATCCACTTGTTTTTCCAAATTAATTGTTGTTGCCCTAATGCTCAAATACAGAGAGACAAAAACAAGCAAAGAAAGTAAGCACTATTCTTTCAGGGAGTGATGAAGAAATCCTCCAGGCTTCCTACATTTAATCTTTGGGTCTTTAACTGCAGCTTTCTCAAAAAACACCCCATGTTGAGAACCTCTGTTATTCTCCAGTTGCATACTTTCCTTGTTTCCATTACTGCTTCAAATGTTAATATTTTTTCATCCTTAGTAGTTGGTCTATTTTGTCACCAGTAGTTTCACCACCTTGAGCTCACCCTTATGAGTTTTAGATTTCATTGCACCTGTTGGAATTAAAATAAAGTACAAAATCTGTCTGGATGAAGTCATGTTTGTAGATGCCTGGTACTATGCTTCAGTTTAGTGCATTGCAGCATAGAAGTTCTGGTGTAAACCTACCTTTGTTATGTGAATTTTGTCTGATGAGGGCAGTTTCACATTTGGGAAAAGGTCAGCTGTCTTTCTTTCCAGGCTAGTGTGCTCACAAAAACTTTGAAGATAGGTTTACTCGTTAAAGAAATGTTTATGTGGGGGAGGCTTGTAGAGGATCTTGAAACTCAAAAGAGGGATGTTTCAACATATAAACTAATCTTCTCCATTCTACTTTTTAAACTACAACTTTCAACTTTTATAGATGGAGTTGGATCCCCATAAGAGGTTAACTTTTCTGGGAAAAATGTTTCCTGCTCTTCTGTTTAAGAAAGGAAAAAAAAAAATTGAAGTTTTTATTTAGTTATCTCTGTACTGAATTTTTTACAGAGCTGGTTTAACTACAGCCAGGTATCTAACAAAACACTGTTAGAAGCCTACTAAACCTGAAACCTTTCATCAAAATGCACAAACCCTTAGGAGTGGGATGATAGTAAAATGACCAAGCTTTGTTTTCTCGCTGTCCTGCCCATAAGGCCCTGCTTTGGTTAGCTTAACAATTTTGCTGAGGCCCACTTTGTTGCTTCTCCTGTTACAACATGCCTCAGAGAGCTTCATCTGGTTGTATTATTGTTATTTCTGTCAACCGGTGCTAGTTGTAAAGCAGTTGGTAGTCAGCATTGAATTCAACATGATATGCAATTGAAGAAACAGTGATTTTTTTTTTTTTCCTCTCAGATGGACCAGCAGTAAGGAAAAGGACTGAAAATGTATCACAAATATGGCTTTTCAGTGTCTATCTGTGCAATGAATCATACCCTGCTTTGAGTGCATTCTAGTTGAATTATGTAGTCCAGATTCTCACACCCAGACACCGGTTGGTTATGGCATTCAAGGTATACCCATTGTAAAATAGCTGTGGTTTAAAAATTGCTGACGTTTTTCATCATGCCGGTTTGGGAGTATAAACATTTTAATTTTAAGTCTCACCAGAGTTTTCAGGTTGTGAGCAGCTGCAGCAGCACTACCCCTCCCCCGTGCTCACCTGTTGCTCTACAGGTTCAGGTTGTAAGATGGAGGAATGAGGGGAGCATCTCAAACAGCATATTTTCTGTCTCTGGTCAGTCAAGCGTTTTCTGTATGTAAAGCAGTCCTAAAAGAAAATGGGGAAGATAATTAAGACCAAGGAACCTTTCTGAACAGGTTTTTATTTAAAAGAAAGACGTTTTGCTAGCATGTGCTAAAAACATTGACAGGCACTTGAAATCTGTGGTTTTCATTATGACCAGCTGGCCTCGACTGATTTCCGAGCATTGCTGATTGTCTAAAAAATAGATCAATTTAATATCTCAGTGATGAAATTGATAACAAATTTCCAAAACAAATCTGGAATTTGTTATAAACTATACCATTGAGTTTTTAGTACATCGGCTGAGAAATTTAGCAGGCATTTCTTTCTCTTTTTCAAGGCATTTCAGAAACTGAGCTGTAATCACGATACTGTGATATTTTTGATTTCAGTAATCGTACCATCAGGATTTTATACTGTCAGATGTCTACTTACACATGGTAACATTTACCTACCTAACTTTTTATTGGTTATGTAGTGTAGGTAGCACAGATTAGAAATGGAAAAAGAAACAAATAGACATATGTCATGTAGGTCTGGGCGAACATTCATATTTTAATCTTGATTATGATTTGGGTTTTTAACAGTTATAAAAATGAAATGATCTGATTATCTTTTGCTCCTTCAGTTTACTCACACTGCTTTCTTTTGCAGATCAAACAGCCCTTGCATCACAGTGCTCTGTTGTAGAGGTGACTTTCCTCTTTATTACCATCTGAGAGGCTAACCCTGGCAGAAATGTTGCACAGATATCAGATGTAATGTGACTGAGCTTTGCCAGTAGCAGCAGCAGCTAAAGATGTCCCGATACCGTTTTTTCAGTTCTGATAATATGCTGATACTTGTGTTGTATCAGCCAATATGGAGTACCAATACTAGTGTATTACAGAAAAATATGAAGAATCTTACTGCCCCAGCATGACTGGGACATTGGCTGGCTGAGGTTAAACCCTTGAATGTAAATATGAATGAATACAGCAAATTTAAGCATTTTTTTTTATAGAACAGTATAAAAATAACTAGCATTATTAGCAAAAGATATTTCCATTTTTAAATAAGATTTAAAGATATATTTTTAAAATCCACTATCTAATAATAGATTATTAAATCAA